GATTTGATTATAGTGGCGAAGGTTTCGTGCAGGACCATCCACACTTTTTGAAGGGACGAATACAGAGACCTGATGCACCGAATGCCACAAGATTCCCAAACGACCCTCAGCAGGTTTTGAATTCAGAGTTGTCCTTATCCTAGACCAGTTGCCATCCAAGGCTATAGAACCCTGTCTGTCCTGCTATTTTACCCATAGCTGGAGGGAGAAGAAGAGGATTCATATCTTTCCCAATGGTATTAGGACGTAATTTACATTCATATATATATATATATATATATATATGTATATATATATAAATAAAAAGAAAGAACAGCAAGATATATTATCCGGTGTTCATATAGATATTTTTATTTTTACAAAATAGTGCCCAATGTAAATTTAGAGAGCATTAATATTATAAATTAATTGATTTAAAATATGTTTTTTTTCGCTACACAGTTCTAACCATGTTTCAAAAATGGAAGCTAAAAGCCCCGAATTTAATTTTGTGATTAAATTAAAGACATTAGTTCTATTTCATCCACAAGCAAATATATATATATATATATATATATATATATATATGTGTGTGTGTGTGTGTGTGTGTGTGCGTGTGTGTCTGTGTGTGTATGTATGTATATATGTATATATATAGATAGATATATACGATGCATGTATTCAATTGTATGAGAACGGTATATAATTAATATGTCTGTGCATATTTTTTAGAGGACATCTATATGAAATCATAAGGAATAATCGCTATTTCTGAGCGCGTAAATTGTTTTGATTAGTGTACCCATCAGCCAAAAGTAAACAGGCCTTATCTTCGTCTATGTCTAACATGAACTTAGCATCATAAGTAGTTCTTGAAAGGCGTACACGTTAATACAGCATCATTTCATTTCTCACAATGAGAGAACCTAATGAAAGCTAACTTTTCTGTGACATTTTCGCATTGTCCAACATCCCCAGATATATCAACTAAGTGCCTTTAGTTCATCCTGTGAACTTTACGTAAAATTTATCCCGCAACATCTCTCTTCTAAATGAATGCACTATGATGGTACTTAAAGATCTGAAATCGCTTATACAGACGACAAAGACACTAGAGTGCTCGATGCAAAAGCACGGCTTTATTATAAACAATGCAATGGAGACAAATGCGAAAACTTTCCATATTCATTTATCAGACTTCTAATGACGACGCCTCCCGAGTGAAAGTCTCTCTAGCAGCTATTCGGAATAATTTCAAAACCGAAATGTCTCGACGTCTGTTTCATCTCCGCATTCGGCGCTATTCAAATTGCACTTGTTACAGCTTCAATTGTCAATCGAATGGCCACTTTTCAAGAGAATTTTATCTCGAGATCCGGTGAGTAATATTTGACTGAACACTTCGAAAGTGAGGACTCTGTACATATGGGTTTAGCCGTAGTGATGTAATTGATGCATTAAATCAATTATGGGTTATCAAAGAAGGTCCGGCTATTTCAAGTAGATTAACAGAGTTTTATTGATTTCAAGTGTGGATAAAGAAGACAGAGGATTCAAAAACGGAAGGAGAGCAAACATGAAGTCTTAAGAGCTTCTTATTTCCAACCAGCTCACCGCATCGAGTTTAGCTGATTCAAATGAATCTGTCTTGACTAAACATAAGGCAAAAATATATATACATCGAATAAAATATTTTCAGCCTAATAATTTATCTATTAAATATATTTGTTAATTAATTTAAAAAAATGTTCAATATTGATAATAGCGAAAACAATTTCTGTAGGTAATCGGAAAATGACACTATAATCACAAATAGAACAGAAAGATTTCGTTAGAAACATAAACAAGAGTGCTGGATTGCTATGTGATATGATCCCCTTTATATGGTATGGATGCCGGATAATCCCTCACCAATGAGAAAAAAAAAAAAAAAAAAAAAAAAAAAAAAAAAAAAACAGGTGGGAACATAAATATAGCTCTGCAGAAGGATAGTGAGAATTTCATGTACGGAGCTAATAATCAATGTGTCTGATAGAAAATCATAAAAAAGATACAGAATCAGTATCTACCTATTTCTTCAGTCTCTTCTTATCTATCTATCTATCTGTCTATCTATCTATCTATCTATTCATATGTATCTATCAATCGAATCGGTCTCTTCACATGTATTTATCTATTCAGTCTCTTCATATTTATCTTTTCATCTCTTCATATCTCTCTCTCTCTCTCTATCTATTCAAACTCTTTATATCTATCTATCTATCTTTCTATCTATGTATCTGTCTACGTGTATCTATCAATCTAATCAGTCTCTTTATATCTATATATTCATATGTATCTATCAATCGAATCGGTCTCTTCACATTTAACTATCTATTCAGTCTCATCATATTTATCTTTTCATCTCTCTCTCTCTCTCTCTCTCTATCTATCTATCTATCTATTCAAACTCTTTATATCTATCTATCTATCTATCTATCTATCTATATATTTATCTATTTCAACCTATTCTTGTTTATCGGTATGTGATTTTGATCAATATGTCTATCCATCTATCTATTGTATGAAATTACAAAGAAGGTATTACACATCCAGTGGAAGATTGTACCGTTTCTTAAGAAGTTATTGATCTTTGATTCGTGGTGGGACTCAAGATGCAACTTCTTCGTCAGTGACGATTGAGTTTTCGCTTTATTTGATATATTGCTTGGAAAGGGAACAGTTGGATGAACTTTATTCCTTAATGAAATACCGAGAATATTTCAGCTATCCAACGACCACACAGAAAGCCGAGATATTTCATATTTCCAACGATCTCACAGAATGTCGCAAATAATTCGGCTCTTCAACAATCACACTAAAAGTCGGAAATATTTTGGATTTCCACTGACCACAACGAAAGGCGGGCATATTTTATTTTACCAAAGGCACGCACTGAGGAATCGGAGAGCCGAGTTCGAATTCCAGTTGAATCCATTTCATTCACTTACATGATAATACTCTTGGGAAAGATATTAATCCTGTTCTCCCCACCCCGCCAGCTATAGGTAAATAGCAAGACAGACCAGGTTCTATAGCCTTTGATGGCAACTGGTCTAATGCAGAAACAAATGGCAACCAACTGGGGGAAAAAATCTGCCTCGTCAGTCATATATCGAAAGATACATTATCGCCTAAGCGTGTATTACTGAATGATCACACAGAATGCCGGTAATATTTCACATTTCCAAAGAAATTCTGGGAATATTTTGTCCATACACAAAAAACGGAAACATATAAAATATGGCCAACTTCAACTTCCGTTTGCTAAACGATGCTGTCGAACAATCACGTGGTCAAGATAAACACTCAGTTGTGGAGCAAGCTGAGTGAATAATAACTCAACCTTAAGAGAGCTATTTATGGTGCCATGGAGCATCTCATTGTGCTAAAGTGGGATAGTCCATTGCTTGGGCTGTGATTGACTGCTGGTACATGAGTGGCGGTATTTCTGTATAAATACCAGCTTGATTCATCAGTTAGTTTGCAGGGTTTGTATTGAGTTACAACCTGCTTTATTTTTGTCTGCCAGCTGGACGCTAGCTCGGACCCTTACGTTGGTAAGTGATGTTTATTATTGTTATTCTACAAATGTCAGTATCTTGTCGCCTTTTTAATCTTAATTTTCAAAAATATATTTTCATTTAATAAATACTCGTAATCATACGAAAGCAAGTTGTTGATCTGCCTGTCATAGATAATTCTTATGGCGTAATACACACATCTATTCCTGTTAAAGTTGACAAGACAATTACTATGAGTTATTTCTGACTAAATTTATTTTTACTTCCCGGATTAGTTTTGATCGAACAGCCATTTTTAAATTTCAGTGTAGATATACAACAAGGAAAATAACTTTAATATTACTCCCATGCCATGGGTTAATAAAAATACAACGAGAAAACAAAAATATGTGTACTGTCAATAAAATATAATTTATTGATAGTATATTTATATATATATTTCAGCTGAAATCATTGCACTTGCTTTCATACAAAAAAAAGTCGTGGGAAATGTAAGATTACATCTCTTTACCTGGCCTACTTGCTAAAGTTCAACAGTCGAGTAAGGTGACATTGTTTATAACCCTTTTATGAGAAAGACCTCTCCGTATACAAATCCAGCGCTGGGCATAGGGATAGTAACTCTAGAAAATATGACACCGAAATGCGGATCCACATTAGTACAGAGAAAGAGACCCGTCAAACGTTGATTATATTAATATGATAATTTCATTAGGAACAAAAAAGAGTACTCAACCATTATGTATCATCGGTACTCCTACATGACAGTGAAAGCTAGATAATCTCACCATAGATGGAGAAGAGAGTCGAAGCAGCATAAGTGTGGTTCTACAGAAGGATGCTGAGCAAACTATGGACCGAACATGTGGGCAATGACAAAGAAAATGAAAGCAAAGAAGACGTTTGTCTCGGCATCAAAAAGAGACAATTGAATTTTCTAGGACACCTAATGAAGAAAGAAGGTTTGGAAAATTTGACACGCACAGGACATATTAAAAACAAGAGAGCCATAGGAAAGCAGTACATGACCTACCTAACGAGTTTGTGTGAATGGTTGTCAGAAGAGGGAAGAGATGAGATGAGATAGCAAAAAGACAAAATTTACTGTGGGCTACAAAGGGTAGGATGGTGTGGACAGCCATGTTCGCCTACCTCCACCGGATAACGTATTATGTAACATCATTATGAATGAGCAGCTATACAATATATATATATATATATATATATATATATATATATATATATAAATCGATTCTCCCGTCGGGTTCGACGTATGAGGGTCAAACAGATCAGTTTCAGGAAACTGACAACCCGACACCGGCACATGATTTGATTATAGTGGTGAAGGCTTCGTGCAGGACCATCCACACTTTTTGAAGGGCCGATTACAGAGACCTGGTGCACTAAGTGCCACAAGGTTCCCAAACAACCCCCCTCAGGTTTTGAATTCAGAGTTGTCCTTCTCCTAGACCAGTTGCTATCCAAGGCTATAGAACCCTGTCTTTCCTGCTATTTAACCCATAGCTGGTGGGAGAAAAATAGGATTCACACCTTTCCCAAGGGTATTAGCACGTAAAGAGGCACGGTGGGGTAATAGATATCGGCTTGGATTGTGGAATCGCAGAGCCGAGTTCGAATCCGAGTTGAATCCATATATATATATATATATATATAGCCAGCCTTGGTAGGTTTATCTGGCTCTGTAGGTTTAACTAGGTCAGCTCTACATACTGCATCGAGCACTTTATTTAGTTATTTTGCTTACTCGTATCGGTTTTTTTTCTTTGTGCTTTGAACTTGCATGCTGGACGATTATTTTCGGCTAACGTACATGTTCTTGGTTCTTTCTTTTTTTAAACCTTTTTCCCTTTATTATTGGTTTGATTATTTGCAAATCAAAACACTGAAGGTTTTCCGAACGAGTATAATTTATATTTATAAGATTACTTCTACTAATATATATATATATATATATATATATATATATATATATATACACACACACACACACACACATATATATATATATATATATATATATATATATATGTATGTATGTATGTATGTATTTTTTTCGCCTATGTTAATTTTATTATTTACGAAGGCTTTGTATATTATGTTATTGGTTAAGCATTTATTGTTAAGTGGATAATTTTTTGTTTCTGAAGTTATATTTAATGGCTTTATTTTGCTGCATGTTATTGTTATTGTTTTTGTAATTGTTATTTGTTTTGATGAGTGTTTTTATTGTGCTTAGTTACAATTTTCTCCATGTTATCTATGCAGCTGAAACCAATTTTGATTGTATCTTTTGTTGATAATTTTTTAGAATTTGCTGCTTTTAGGGATGTATTTGTCTATTATTTTGAAGGATATTTATTAAATTAAAAGACCATAAGGACAAACCAACATGCAAACTACTAAAAGACACAAAATCAATATTGGGAAAATAATCAAACAAATCAGATTTCGCACTACTATGATTTAAAGGAAATCGTGCATTATGGATTTAAATCATCAACAACACCACAGTCTGATGATCTTATGGATTGCGAGAAGGGTCTATACTCGATAATCAACTAATTTTAATTCACCAGATTTACAAATGGTGATTTTTCTAAGCGTAGTTTAGATGTGGCACAATGCCGAAACTATGGGCCCTCAGTGAGGATCGAACTTTCTATTCTGTCGTAATTGATCTTGATTAACTTGCTAACCATTATGCTACGTCGAAGTGCCCACACGAGAGTTACCAATGGCCCAGCAACAGAAACTGCATAAGGACGACTTAAAGATTAAGAAAACAAATAAAATAACAATTATTAAAGTAGCTAAGGCGAATAATCATTATAAAATCTATGTGGATTCCGTATCGCAAAGCTATTAACAAAGTCAATAAATTTTATAAAAAGGTACCCGATTTTGGGAAAAAGATATCAACAATGAAGGCAAAAAAAAATTCCACTGAGTTAAAGATTGAAGATAAAATCTATAAAATTCCGTAAAGAATAAGCATTTATCAACATAAAAAAAAAACACGAAACTAATTTCCAAACCAATCCACGATAGAGATTACTTAACCTAACTAAAAAAATATTGGAACAATTGTAAACGTATTATTGAAACAGCACGGAAATATACGAAAGATGCTTTCGGAATTAGAAAGCGGCATAATAGAGTAGAAGGCATACAATGGTTTAATAATATATAACAGAAGAATAATTTGATATAAGTGATTTTTACCCGTCCATCACCGAAAACTTGCTAATGTTCGCCATCATTTTAATAAAGTCTATTGTCCTATTTGGGAAAATGAGATTAAAATTATAAAACAGACACAATAACCTTGGTTATTCCATAATAGCTTTCTGTAAACTAAAAGGAAGAACACAGAATTTAACATTGCAATAGACGCATTTGATTCTGACAAAGCATGTGAACGGGTCGGGATTTTGTTATTGTGGCGATTAAGATTTCTATTTGACATTAAGGACACAGGTCTTTACAGAAATGGCTGTGTAATTCATCTCCGTAAAATAAGTTCAAGAAACATAGACTGATCGAGAAAGGAACTGCTTCAATTTTTCAAGGATCACGAACTAAAAATTACAAAGAGCCACTAATGCAACTTTCTCGATGTAGTTTTGAACATGAGTACAAACCGTATACTAACAACCTGCATAACTACAAAATACGCCAACCAATAACCCGACCACCCACGGAAAATATTACAAAAATTATATAAATATGTAGAGATTAGATTATCCACTAACTCCAGGGATAAGGAAGTATTTGTTAAAAATAAAATTAAATATTTAAAAGCCGTTGAACAAAGCAAAAACAAAGTGAATATGAAATATTTAGAACAAAATAAAAGAGGTACAAAATAAGCAGAGACACTGTGATGGGTTAGGGTTTAGCCTCCGCTCCAATCTAACCGCTGAATTACCCTAAATTT